ACAGACCCTTTCTGCCATATATAGAACTGAAACTGTGCAGAAGAATCTGAAATGAGATTATCCAGAGGAGAGTTGTATAAGCTTGCTGCAGTTCAGTTCTTTTACTGCATCATCTCAGTTCCCAGTACGACAGTACCCTTGAGAGTCTGAGCATGAGTTCTGGAAAAGTACCGAGAAAAGGAAGGGAAAGTTCAACACATTTTTCCTCCCTGCAAGGGTACTGGCTGGGTCATACAGCAACTGTCACATTGCATTAGCCTCCTTCTCTGTACATGCCAGCGTGCAAGCAGCGATAGCACGGAGCCTGTTTGTTCATCAGACAACACTCTTCCCCTTTTGGGACCAGCATGCTTGCTCCTTTGGCATGCAGAGTGAGGCACGCTCTCATGCGCGGCAGGAATCCAGAGGCTTGTAGGTTTGTTGTCTGCGAAAAGGGATTTCGGAACCAGCAACACAAGGGCACATGAGACTGCTCCCAATTCAGGATGTTGGTTTTTTTTTCTGATTTTTCAGAGAAGGGCATTTCAGAAAAAAATAGTTCTGCTTTTGCCTGCTGAGGTACAGCGGTTAGAGTTTAGGTCTATAACCATGGAGATCTGTTTGTATTTCATTATTCCCACCTGATGACCTTCAGTCAGTCATCATCTCAGAGTCCGTGTTGTTGTGTGAATAAAGGGGTTGTGGTTTTTTGGAGTCAGGCTAAAGTCACCTGGAATCCACACCTTTTGGGTTGACGTGTGCATCCTCACTGCTGTCGTTACCACCACCACTACCACTTCCCTACCACCAACTCCTTGGTCTCCCCACTGCTGCCACCTCTGATATTGCTGTCGCCACTGCCTCTGTCACCATGTCCAACCACGTAGCTCCACTTGGCTGGGACAGGGTGGCAGCCGAGAAGAATGCGATCTAGGAGAGGAGGAGGAGGAGGAGAGGGAAAGGGATGGAAAGGGAAAGAGGGGGCAAGGGGTGAGGGTGGAAGAGCCTGGGGGCAGGCAGCTGAGGGGAGTAGAAGGTGGGAAGGATTTGGAAGGGGAGCAAGGAGAAGAGGTTGGCTATGAGATGGGGTGGGAGGGGAGGAAGGTCGTGGGGGGCTGAAAGGGAAGGGAAGGAAGGAGAGCTTGGTTTGGTTGACTGGTGGCCGGGAATGAGCTTTTTGGCATCGTGTCAGCTTTTTTGGCAAACAGACCACAGTGTTTTTATTTATTTCCTGCTGTCTGGTATAGCGCTGTATCAGATAGCAGGAATTTAAAAATAATAATGCGGATAGGGGTGTTCACATATCCAATGAATCGATTTCACATCCGCCTCAAGATCAACAGACCTCTGGTGGAGGAGTAGAAAAACTCACTCCCCAGGCATATTACTCCATGCATCCATACTATACCTTGTGTGTAGGCCAAAATTTAAACCTTTTCTTAAAAAGCAGAACCAAACACAACAGCAGTCTTTATGGTCAATAGAACAGAACCCTCAGATGTGGAATGGCTTTCCTTTGGAGGCCTCATGGCACCAAAGCTACCTCATTTTAGTACCAGTTTAAAACTGGCCCCAACCTTTTGGGGTATAGAAGTCATAATCTGCCTAGATTATTGAGTTCTGATGCGATGTATGGCTGCTCTCAATAGTTTTAAAATTATTCTGTTGACTGTATCCTCCCTCATGATCTTCTGATGCAGGGCAAGATATAAATATTGTAAACTGGCAGTGTAGCCCAGGGTGAACTTCTTAGAGAGAACATGAGATAAAAATTCAGTTGGCAGTAATACTTTGATTTCTGTTGAAGTATCCCAGTTTAGAGTCACTGAGGGAAATTCAGGTGTACCCACTGAAATATTTCTTTGACTGACTGGATGGATTTTGTTCTAAAATGATTTGATATTTGTTGACTTGCCAGGGGGGGCATCTGAGGATAAGATAGCTGATTGCATTTTGTCCTGGAAATGATGAAGACTATGGTGGTTATTACTAATAATGAAAATCTAACAGTGCTGATAGACTGGTTGGAAAGGTGCCTTAAATTAACACATGAACTGGCTTAACACAATTGCCATACAGTACAGGTAACTGGCATGATTGTTCCGGATATGAGATCGTATGTTATATGCTAGAATCAGTCTTACGTTTCTTTATAACAATAATAATTTTAGTCTCATACTCTTTTCTTTGCAAACACATGGCAAAACTGGAAAATGTGCTGTCAGAATCACAATACAACAGGTCCTTCTTATCCACAGTATCCACTGATTCACTTATCCATGGTCTGAAAATGATAAAAATATTAAAAGAAAAATCCTAGATATATATTTCTAAAGATGACGTTACCAGAGGTGGCCACTAGAGGGAGCCTGAGATCATGCTATACTGTACTATATGGTATGTATAGTCCTTGCTAGAGAAATATATCTCCACGATGTCATCACCAGAACTGGCCACTAGAGAGAGCCAGAGAACATGCTATGTAGAGTGTTCACTGTTTAAAAAGCGTGCAATACAATCCACGTTTTTCAGCATCCACAGGTGGGCTTGGAATTGATCCCCCATGGATACAGGGTCATATTGTATTGTTATAGTAGTGGGAGTTGAGAGAGATGATCTTGCAGTCTCTTCCACTTGCTGCTGTGACTTGGGAAAACAATGCTGAAGTGGGTCAAATCACTTGGATCAGTTAAACCGAACAGATTGCCTTTTTTCCCTAGTGGGATTGGCCGATTGTCATTATTAGGTAAACTTTTGAATGGCTTGGGTGGGTAGGTGCTGGAGGGGACTCATCCACTCTCCCATGTATGGCAAGCTAAGTAATGTGCTAATCATTCACACTATCAAATTTCCAGTTGCCATGCATGGGTGTGAAAACTGGAAAGTTAAGAAAGCTGGAAGAAATAAAAATAGTGTGTTTTTTTTTAATGTGGTGCTGGAGGAGAGCTCTGTGGATATTCTAGACTGCTAAAAAGATGGACAAGAAGGTTGTAGATCAAATCAAGCTTGAACTACCTCTGGAGACAAAAAATGTTGAAACTGAGGCTGTCCTCCTTTGGGCACATCATGAGAAGGCAGGGTTCTCTGGAGAAGACAATGATGCTGGGAAAGGTGGAAGGCAGCAGGAAAAGAGGGGGACCAAATACGAGACGGGCTGGCTCCCTAAAGGAAGCCACAGGCTTGAGGTTGCAAGAGCTGAGCAGGGCAGCTGAGGGCAGGGTTATTTTGGAGATCGCTCATTATAGGGTCGCCGTAGGTCGGAAAAGACTTGACAGCACATAACGACAACAACAATTTGTGTTGATTTCAAGTTCAGAAGCTTTCAGCGAAAGGCAATGCTTGGCAGAATTCAATTGCTTTTTCATGCTAGGAATTCTGTGAGTTAGTATCTAAGAATGTAACTTTTACAAGCTGTTTTTTTGGGTGGCATTTCTTATCATGCTAACGAGTTTGATTGTGCAAGTGACTGGTTTCCAGGGCTAGTTTCCCCGTCCAGTGGCTGAAAAGAGTCCCGTTTTCAGCACACGTTGAAAAGACCTTCTTCTGCTTAAGCATCCCTCCATTTGCCTGGCTATTTGTCGAAGGAGCTGTTGTCTTGTATGTACCGGATGTCAGAGCCCACCTGGGCTCCTTTTTTTTTGTGAAGGCCCGGGTGTGGCGCGCGCTGAGGATGCCCTCCAGGCCAGCTGTTCAGCTGCATTAGCTATTCATCATGAGACAACAGAATAGTCATGCTGGTTAGCGATTAATAATGAAAAGGCATTTGGCGCATTACGATAGCCGTCATGATTCGGCAAGGGAAAGAAGGATAAAAGAGGTATTATCTTAACAGATGCCCGATGGCCTTGTGGAAGAATAGATAATATTGTATGATAATTTTGTATTCTTGTGCCAAGGGTACTACAAGAAAAATAACTGTAATAGCATTATATAACTCATTGTGCTTTCGAGCGAACACATTTTTTTTTCGTATGTTGCCTCAGTAAATCATTCTTAACGGCTCTGTAAAAGAGGTCAGTGTTCAGTGGTTTAGGTAGTTGGCTGTGGGGCCAGAGGTTGGGAGTTCGATTCACCACTGGGTCTCCTTGACAGGGATTAGACTCGATCAACCCTAGGGACCCTTCCAGCTTGGCCGTTCTAAAATGATTAAGAGGAACTACTGGATAATTCAGCGGTTCTGACTGTCAGGAATGGGAAGTGTTTGCTTTTTGGAGTAGATCTCTGAGAATTCTGGAAGTGGTAATATAAGAATTAAACATTTCCTATCTCCAAGTTATTCCCTGAGTAGAGTAAAAATTGTAGTATCACACTCTATGAAGGGCAAGATAAAGTTTCTGTCCCATAATTATTCATTCAAATGTGGATATATTAATCTAGATATATTTGACTCTTTCAGGGTTACCTGTCAGAAGGCTTGGTAACAAAATGGTATCGGTCACCTCGTTTACTCCTTTCACCCAACAACTATACCAAAGCAATTGATATGTGGGCAGCTGGTTGCATTTTAGCAGAAATGCTGACAGGAAAGATGCTCTTTGCTGGTAAGTCTACAATTGTTCTCTCTCTCTCTCTCTCTCTCTCTCTCTGGTTTTCCCTTCTGTCCTTGAGGGAGCATTTCAATAGGTGATGAAATTTCCTCTATATTCTTCTGTCTGTTAGCACAGTAATAGAGATGGGCATGAACTGCCAGTTGAGTGGTTTGGCCTGGTTCGTTTCACACCACAACCGCACCGTGTTTGGCAGTTTGGTGCCCCGCCCCCTCCAGCAGGTGCCCACTGAGAAGCAGCACCCAGAGGAGGCGGGGCAGGGAAGCCGAGAGGCTGCTTCCAAGTGGGTGCTGAACCGCCGAACATCTGTTGCGGCGGTAAACAAACCGGGCCACGCTGATGGTTCATGCCCATCTCTACTCAATAATAGGAAGTTCATGAAATTTTTGTAACCCTACATTTTATTTGGTTGGAGCCTGCTAGCCATATTAGAAAGAAATCTTGGCATCCTATTCATGTTCTTGGGATTTTTATTTTTAAGAAACAAAAAATAGGTTTCTGGTCCTCATGATTTTGAAAAGAAACTGAGAAACCAAAGGGCAGTACAAGAAAGTTTAGCAATCCTAAGCTTTTTCATAAAATTGTGTTTTGGGGGATTCTTTTAAGACTGCAGCTTCAAGAATACTCCAGCTGGCTTGCTGGCAGATGCCTCTAACAGTTATAATATAGACAACTAGCTTTTCTAAGCTCTTGGCTTTTTAGCATTACACACACATGACCGGTAAGAGTAGTCCTTATGAATTATTAAATTTGCCAAGTAACAGGGTTGTTCACGGGTAGTAATATTTGTCTGTTAGAGAGCTGGAGTCAAATATAAAAATACAGAAGTGAGCATATGAAGAAGTGGTGACAGCTCTTTAATAACTATATATATATATTTGCAGATGTGCATCACAACTGCAAGCCTGCAATGATGGTGTGCGATGGGGATAGTGCAATATCATGACTATAAATTGCTGAATGCATTTTGTGAACAGGTTTGGGAGCAAGGACTGGAAGTGCAATTTTGCATAGCTGGGCTTTTGTGAAACCAGGAATACAGAGAGACCCATATCATAGAAAAGTGAAGTTGGAAGGGACCTACAAGACCATCAAGTCCAACCCCCTGCTAAATGGGGCTGTTGACTCTACAATTCTATTCTAGAATTGAAAAAAGTTTGCTTTGTGGATTTTACCCGCCAGAATCCCAGCAGACTTGCCTGTGTTTTCACATTGTGCAACTTGTATTTGTGGTGTGTAGCTGTACCCGCTGTCTATGGGCCAACACTTTCCCTGCACACCACTGTTGTATGACTGATGGACTCCTTCTGCTTTGGACTCCTCTTTTATTCTGTGGCCATGTCTGATCTTTTCCCATGAAACAACAGAGGCTTAAACAAGAAGTTACTGGTTGACTTTTCCCAGTATGTCTTGCTAATGGTGCCTTTCCCTTATGTGCAAGTCAAAAATGGTATCTCAGGCAAAGCAAATTCTGTGGGGAGATGAAACTACAGAGGCTTAAAGAAGAAGTATTGGTTAACGGTTTTACTGGTTGACTTTTCCCAGCATGTCTTGCTAATAGTGCCTTTCCCTTATGTGCAAGCTAAAAACGGTATCTCAAGCAAAGCAAATTCTGTGGGGAGATGAAACTGTTTGCAGTACCCAGACTCTGGGCAAACAGAAGCAGAATGACAGGGTGTTCAGGTGTCGATCCAGAGTGCTGAAGTTCAGAGGGCACCAAAATCGACTTCTGGAAGGGCTCTCCTTGGTATTTGCTGCCAGAAGGGCATGAAACTCACCTGCCACCTTTAGCTGCTCCTTCTCAGGCAGAAGGAAGCACAGGACAGGGGGCCAGGTGGGTGTGCCACCTTTAGCTGCTCCTCCTCAGGCAGAAGGAAGCACAGGACAGGGGGCTCCGTGTGGGACCAAAATGGTCACTGTGTTTTCAAGACCCAGGCATTTCTCTGTATTGCTCCATCATCTCCTAGCGTCTGCTCACTGCCTGTGATGCAAGCTTAACCGATCAGGCAGTGAAACTTTGGGCACCAAAATTTCTGCTTATGACTCTGATCTCTAGTGGGAACCCTAATCTGTATGAAAAGCCTGGAGAGGTTTCCTGAAGTGCTTTTAGTCAGCCATGATTCAGGCAAATGGGATGATGACTCACGCTGCCACTGCTAGTTAGCCTTCTCTTGCCTGCCTGCTTTCCAGAATCCTACCTCTGTCCTCCTTCTGTCCACGTGTGAGTTGTTCTTACTTGCTTGCTTGCTTGTGCATGCGTGTGTACACGCCTGCAAGAACAAGAAGCTTCCTCACTTGAAGTTTGCTAGCATAGCACCTACAAAACAGCGGGAAATAGGGCTTTCAATATTTATCCAGGCATCAAGTGTACCCCATGGTGTTACTGAACAAATAAACATCTTCCCTTTACAGTTTTGCCCAGTCTTTCTTCCTTGCTGCTACTCCTATTATTATTCCCATTATGATACCATTATTGCCCAATATTTATTTTGCAAGACTGCAGTATTTTGACCGTGCTGGTAAGGAAGCTGAGCACAGCTTTCCCTAAATGTATAATGAGCTCCATGAATAATGGACGCGTACTTCTGGCCTTTCAAGATCATTTCAGCCAAGACCTGGTGGCATCCGTTCTGCCATAGACCAACTGGCCGATCTCTTTCACTTTTTCAACGTCTGTCTTCTCAAAACACATTGTTTGCAGCGCCAGCTTCTCTGGACACCCCCGGCAAAGATAGGGCTGGAAGTCCAAGTTGCTGGGAAGAAAGAGTCCAGTTTCCCAGACTGGAGAAACTGGGTGATGCTCCTCCAACAGGAAGATCCATGGGCATCACACAAGGTGTTGTAATAGTCATATACTCAGGTTATACTGTTGGAACCTGCAACAAAATGGTCAATATCAGTGATCTGACTTACTCCTTAATGAAGGCCTTTCCTTCATTATCTCCTCCCAACCCCAGTGTCCAGTTAATTAGGGAGAGAGAGAGAGAGAGAGAGAGAGAGAGCCTGCTGTTGACACCCTCTTGTGCATGGGTAATGCTGCTTTCCCCGTATCAACAGTGGTACAGTACTCATATCTAGACTTCAGAAACACATGGAATGATGCTGTCTTTGTACATGCAGGTTTTATGCCTTTAGGTGATTTGTACAGAGTAGCACCGCTAATCCTACGAAGGCTAATTATTTTCAGTAGGTGTATGCTTACTGTAGAAAGAAACATTTGCTAGACTAATTTGGAGGGGCAGAACCGGTTGTTTGGAGCCTGGGGAGTGAGACCCAGCACGCCAATGCATTCTTCGGTGCCTCTCCCAGCAACCAAGGCTTGCGCATTGAGAGCATTATTGTTTTAAAATAAATACTGCGTTGCTTTCACATCATGCTGGGCTTGTCCTTCTCTGCCTGATGAAGCCACAGGAGGCAGGTGGGAGTGGAGAGAGATGGAAAGTGCTCTTTATCATGGAGTCCAGAGGTTCTTTGAACACAACAAGGGTCCCCTCCTGTGAACAAGGCTGAAAGAATGCAGGACATAACAAGGCAATGGGGCTGGATGAACGGGCCAGATCTCAATTAATGCTCTAACCCCAACCTGTTACCTCCCCAATGTGGTGTACATAAACACAGTTCCCAGAGTTTAGAAACATAAGTTTTTTTGGACTACAATTCCCCCACCCTCCACCAAAACAAAACAAAAAAACAAAAAAAAATCACACCTTTTGGAACTGCAATAAAAACAAACAAACCTTTGCAAGTTCAGAATTTCAGTTTTTTAAAAACTAAAAATCATCCAATATTATGGGGAATATTTTCTAGTCCTGATCATTTTGGGGGCCCCGCCCTTATAACATATTTTTTCCAGAATTACAATATCTTGTTTTGAAAATGACCAGAACAGCATTCAGTGTTCTAAGTATGGGTGTACCCTACTTTTGCATCCAGATTGACAAACGTTCCCTTGGGTCTCAAGATGCCTATAAACCCTTGTATGCTATCTTCTAAAAGACAGGTGGAAATAGCTCCCTGTTATTAACATTTCAATATCTTTGTTCCATACCTTCTTGTCCTAAGACGACAGCTTGATTTTGAGAGTGCCTGTTTGTTTTTATATGAGAAAGGAGGAGACCTTAGTAGTGCAATAAGAAATGAAACAATGTCTTGAATTTAGGGGAAAAAATGCTCTGCTTCTGTACCCAAATTTGTATTTTTCTTCATATGTTAGAACGATGGTTCCCAGCCCTGGGTTCCCAGAGGTTCTTGGACTTAAAAGCACAGAGAGAGCCACTGAGGTATCAGATTAGGACTCAAGGGGCTCAGCTTCAAATCCTTACTCAGGCATGAAAACTGACAGTAAGGATGGCAATGGGAAATTCACCACTTAAAATCTCACCAACTCAAAGACCCCATTAGGATTTGGGTTGGATATACTGTAACATGAAAACCGGTAATAACAACAACCCCTTTATGTCATGGTATCAATCTGGATTGGGTCCCCTGGGTTTGTTGTTGTTTAGTCATTTAGTCGTGTCCGACTCTTCGTGACCCCATGGACCAGAGCACGCCAGGCCCTCCTGTCTTCCATTGCCTCCTGGAGTTTGGTCAAACTCATATTGGTAGTTTCGATGACCCTGTCCAACCATCTCGTCCTCTGTCATCCCCTTCTCCTCTTGCCCTCACATTGTACAGCACCTTGAGTGCATAGGAGGGAATGCTGGTTGTAAAGCTGATAGAGCTGGCAGACAAGATAAAATTGTCCAAAAAAGCACTCTAATGCAAAAGCATAATGTACTTTCCTGTGGTTACAAGGTGTTAACAAGACTGAGTGCTTCTGAACCAATTTTGAGTGTACTTCCCTGTAATCACAGAGGCTAAAGAGAGCTGAAAATTATAACATTCAATATCTTTTTTTTTTTTTTTTTTTTTTTCCACATATTAAGCCACGCAATCCACGTGGGTTGTTTTGAATCCTTATATTTCAGCATTAGGGAGTGGTGAACTAGTTTCCAAGAGGCAACGACTTCTTGAATTCCTGCAGAGCTATTAGAAGTGGGTCATTTCAGCTGTTAAAATAATCATGGGTGAAAATCTGGGTTTCTTAATTATTTAGACAATGTTAAATGAGAGTCCGATACAGGCCAAACAAGAACTTCTTGTAGCAATTATGCCCTCAGTCTGACTTGGTTATTTCTAGATCATGGCTATCAGAAATAAATAGTCTAGTGAAGTCTGCTTGTCTTTAAACTTAAGCATTTTGACTGCAGGGTTGAAGTCCCAGGATTTTCCAAGTTTCGGGAACTGTGACATTATACATCATACAACTCAGGAATCTTTGTTTTGTCTCAGCTTAGCCACAATCTTCAGAGTAGCAGGGAGAGAAATGGATTTTCTGACAGTGTATTGTTGCAAGCTGCCCCTGTATAAATGATTTGAAAGGCAGTTGATTGTGAATAGTCAAGTAAAAGCCATTTTACAAAAGACCTACTCCTCATTTGCTAATGTGGACCAATTCAGCTACCTGCATTTTTTTTACTCTTTGATAATCTGTGCATCCTGGCATTAGTAAACAAGATATTCACTACACTTGTTTGAATTTGGAGTTGTACCCAAGAGATGAGCATTGTAAACAGATCTGTTAGGTATTGATCATGGGCATAAACAGCAGTCATTGTTGTCTTCTTCCACCTAGTGGTAAAAAATGGAGATTTTTAATGATGTAAACATGCTTGACTTTGATGAGAATGTAGTTGCGCAACAACACAAAGTTGTTTATCATCATCATGTAAGGACCACAGCACTGGAAGGGATCCTGTGGATCATCGAGCCCAGCCCCTGTCAAGGAAGCATAGTGGGGAATCGAACTCTCCGCAGCCAGAGACCTAAACTCTTGAGCTATCCAGCAGTTTACATCAGCTTTGTACTGGTTTAAGCCTTATCCCTATGAAGATTCCTGGGAACTTCAACATCAGTGAGGCTCCTGTATAGGCAGCCAAATGCCTAAACTACCTGTACAGTGGTGCCTCGTTATACGATTGCCCCACATTACGACGAAGCCTCTTAAAGACAATCTTTTTGCGATCGCAATTGCGGTTGCAAAACGATGGTCTAAATGGGGAAATTTCGCTTTGCGATGATCAGTTCCCTGCTTCGGGAACCGCTTCTTGGCAAAAAAAAATGTTTTTAGAACAGCTGATCGGCGGTTTCAAAATGGCCACTGGGTAATTAAAATGGCTTCCTGCTGTGTTTAGGGACGGATTCCTCACTATACAGGCAGCGAAAATGGCCCCCGTATGGAGGATTTTCGCTGGACTGTGAGTTTTTACCCCATTGGAATGCATTGAACGGGTTTCAATGCGTTTCAATGGTTTTTTAAATTTCACTTTACGATGTTTTCGCTTAACGGTGATTTTCCTGGAACGGATTATCGTTGTTAAGCGAGGCACTACTGTATTTTTGTTTAAATTATAGCCCTTATTTCTTAATGTCTAAATTGGCACAGGGATGTTTTCTGCAAGTCTGCTGCCAGGATCCTACTGAGTTTTCACTAAGTGAAGAATCCAGCCAGTGTAATAAGAGGGGAACACAACACTTGTGCAATCACTGTTATTTCTTTTGAATCCTGTGCAAGAAGCGCAGTCATGACGTACTACATTGGTGGCACTTTCCACTCCAGGAAAGCTCAATGGAGTGCTGACATTTCTCCCCTTTTGCCCTCTTTTTATAGGGGTGTATGTGTGCAAGTGGCCACACAGTTGCCTAACAAGAACTCAAGACATTACTTAATTTCCCTGGAGCTTTGGAGAATTATCATCTGAAGACCCTTTCTGAACGTCGTGCTTAACACCGTGGTCTGTTCCCAAAGACATGCACCTTGTATCGTTTGATTCTTGCATGAGTCATGACTTAAGGAAAATGAAGATCAGGCTTGATTTGTGGTAGTTCATTCACACATGTCACAGTTGTCTGGTGATTACATGCATGTGTGAACAGGGGTTAAGCCATCCAGGGTCCCAATGACATGTCTGTGCTTCTTTAGGAAGCCATGAGTTGGAACAGATGCAGCTCATTTTGGAGACCATCCCTGTTTTCCGGGAAGAGGATAAAGAGGAACTTCTCAAAGTAATGCCAACGCTTGTCAGCAGCACCTGGACGGTGAAGAAACCGTTACGGAAGCTTCTTCCCGAAGTGGATAGTCAAGGTACAGTGAGTTCGGCATCTGGTGGGATCCAAAGGTGGGCGTCTTTTGCTGGAAAATGCTTCTCCCCTACTCTATAACTCAGTAGAAATTACATTTTGTACTTCCTGTGCACCCACGCATGAGACATCTTATTTCCAGCCGACCATTGCAGGGGGTTTATGTTCTGCAAGAAATATTCTGGAAAGTGCTGTCCAGTTTTATTCTGCAGAGTGCTGTCCAAAACCACAAATTTGCACACTTTTATTTGAAATGTATTGCTGTGAATGTGACTATAATAGCATACAGTAGTGCCTCGGTTTACGAATTTAATGTGTTCTACGGGACTCCCATAATGCGAAAAATTTGTAAACTGAAACACGGTTTACTATAGTGCAGGGGCGGCATTATAAACCTCCAGACACAATACATCCTGGGGAAACTTCCTTTGTACTGTGGGGAAGAAAACGTAAACCGAGGCATTATTTTCAATGGATTTCTGTTCGTAAACCAAAAATTACGTTAACCCAGACATTCGTAAACCGAGGTACTACTGTACTCTTTTTTTCCTTTTCTGGGGCCAATAGATAATCTAGATCAGAGGCAGGCAACCTAGTCCTGTCCAAACCACGGCCACACCGGCTGGGGATGATGGGAATTGTAAGCCAAAAGAATCTAGAAGGAAGCAAGTTTTTTACTCCTAGATTAGCTGGATCTGACACTGCAACATTGCTAATCTTAAGTAAGGGTATACTTGGCCACAAGTCTGGGTGGGAGATCTTGGGAATTTGATAGGTAGGTGAGAGAGATATATATATTTATCTCCAGTCTTAGTCTGATATACTGGGATGATGGGAATTGTAAGCCAAAAGAATCTAGAAGGAAGCAAGTTTTTTACTCCTAGATTAGCTGGATCTGACACTGCAACATTGCTAATCTTAAGTAAGGGTATACTTGGCCACAAGTCTGGGTGGGAGATCTTGGGAATTTGATAGGTAGGTGAGAGAGATATATATATTTATCTCCAGTCTTAGTCTGATATACTAAGTGCTACAGAACACCGATCCGATGTAAGAGGGGGATTCCTTTCACACGAAAGGCAAGATCACACACTGGATTTTTCAAGAGCTAGATTGGTGTTACTGTGGTCTTCTTCAGCAGAAATGACAAAGAGACTTGTGGTGTCTCAAAAGCTACAAGTTTTATTTGTCATAGGTTTTTGTGGACTGAACGCCAATTTCCTAATTTTTCAGCCTTGGAAACTTTAATGTGAAACAGTTATAGTGGGACCTCCATATCTGTGGGTGATGGATTCCAAGCCCCCCTCTGCAGATTCTGATAAACATAGATTACAGTGGTGCCTCGCTTAACGACGATAATCAGTTCCAGGAAATTCCCGTTAAGCGAAAACATCATAAAATGAAATTAAAAACCCGATTGAAACACATTGAAACCCGTTCAATGTGTTCCAGTGGGGTAAAAACTCACAGTCCAGCGAAGATCCTCCATACGGCAGCCATTTTTGCTGCCTGTATAGTGAGGAATGTGTCCCTAAACACAGTGGGGAGCCATTTTAAGCACCCGGTGGCCGTTTTGAAACCGCCGATCAGCTGTTAAAAAAACATCATTTTGCGAAGAATTGGTTCCCGAAGCAGGGAACTGATCATTGCAAAGCGAAAAAACCCTATTTAGACCATCATTTTGCGATCGCAAAAAGATTGTCATACAGCAATTTTGTCATAATGCGGGGCAATCATTAAGCGAGGCACCGCTGTATAGTGATCTTTATACATAGAATCATCTTTGGCTCTCTCTAGTGGCCAGTTCTTGTAACTTCATCTTTAGAAATAAGTATTTTTAGGATTTTTCTTTTAATATTTTCAGATTGTAAATAAGTGAATCAGCAGATATTGATCCCACAGATAAGGGGATCCTATGATATTTAACATTAACATGAAATCTAAATTAATTTTGTTAGTGAAAATTATAAAATAGATTTGTAATGTTGATACGGTAGCTAATAACATGTGACATATTAAGTTCTGAATTATAAAAAAAATTACTAAAATTATTTAAAATGGTCCCTCAGATGTTTCCTCCAAGGCAATGGGTCCAAAGAAAGAGCATGAAATAGGAATTGTTAATCAGCAGATAACTGTTATGGTTTAATCATTTAAACAGTAAATTTTTAAAAAAATCAATATTTAATAGATTAGATACAATGGATTAACAAATAATTTCCCAGTCCTGGACAAGACATACATGTAGGATCAGCTTCAATGCTTATGTGCACACTGATAAAATATGTTAGGCTGACTGACACAAAAGAAAGGGTCTTTGTTTGGTGGCCCCATCCTTAGGGGACACTAAACCGTATAATCTGCATGAGGTTTTCTTCCCTAGCTGTATTTTAAATAGGCCTTAAGTGTCTGGATGTTCCTGTCTATTTTTAAACAAACAGACAACCATGTTTAGTTTATGACATTCTCCTGCTTTATATCTCCATAGTATATCTGCCAGGAAACAGAAACCTATTTTAAATTTGCAACCCTAAATCTTTAATTTGTTCAGATAGCTGAGCCATTCCTCCTTGTATCTGCTGTAATCCTGTGGATAACCTATTTTGAATGCTCTGTTGCCAGTCCTTAAGTGTCTCTTGCCCCAATAATTTCAGAATTTGTTCCTGCGCAGATGAGCCTCTCAGGGGCTTTTCCTTTCCTCCTTTCACTGTCATCTTCCAATTCTATAATTAATCTTCTAAGTTTTTTTAAAAAGATACTATCTGTTTTCTTTCCCAGCAGGTGTCGCTGCTGCCCCATCTTTCATTCAAAGAACACTATTTACCAAGCCCATCCAAAACATAGATCAGCACCTCTCTCTCATCGAAATGTTCTCACAGCCACCAGTCAAAACAATGAGTGTTTAAGATAACAAACAGTGCCTTGAGGCAAGTAACATTATCGGTTCAATCTTTCTCTCCAGACTCAGTAATTAGGGGTAGGTCCTCCAATCAAAACTGCTCCGGGTTGCAGGACAGCGTGCCAAAGAAAACAAAGAAAAAAAATAAGTGCCTCTGATCCGGTGATGCTACACAATCTAAGACTCCTCTGAAGTTCCAAGTTCTATTTCCTGATTCGAGTTTCCTCCATCAGTGTTGTAATTGGACACTTTATGATTAAACTATTTTGCTGGAGCGAGTCTTTACCTTTGATTAAAACAGTTAATTCCCCAAATAACTTTCTCCCCTCCTCCCTCTTTCTTTTTGTTTTCCCAATCAAGGCTGAGGGATGGAGGGGAGGCTCACTCTACCACAGCTCAAAGGGTTACAGGATCTAATCCACTTTCATTAACTTGTTAAGCCCAGCTTTCTTCTGTGTCATTGTTTTAGGCCCATAAAGTTTCTTTATATAAAACACACTTATTTAGAGTCCTGCTCAGGATATTTTCCAAGATCCTTCTGTACTCCTCCACTCTCTGCAAGGGGTGTTTCCAGTTCTTTGCCCAACATGGCTTCCACCTCATTCCGTGCACTCAGAAAAGACTCTTCGGTAAACCCCACCTTCCCATGCTGATATCCTAAACACACTTACTAAAGACTTCTATAATTGTAGTTTTCAAAATTGTAGAAATTGCAATACACAGAAACCTGTCTCAAGTCACTTCAATCTACCAGGACACTCTTCACAAGACATGAAAGTTGTTATTCTGGAAAAGAAAAATTATAGAACAAGAATCCAGAGGTAAAAAGCTGAGATAAAATATATAGAGATGGTGGACACCATTCTTAACAGATTAAATACTAGTCAAGTTTTCTTAAGCCATTATCAAATGTGATAATTATGTTATCTCATAATTTCAGAAAAATACTCAACGATAAATTATATCATTCTCTACATTACCACATGTTGTTCCTGCTGTTTTTTCCCTTAATCATTGTTGCTGTTTACAGAACCAGGCTTCAAAAGAAGTGAATATCAAACAGGGGTCTTAAAACATCGTTGTTGTTTAGTCGTTAAGTCGTGTCCTACCCTTCGTGACCCCATGGACCAAAGCACGCCAGGCCCTCCTGTCTTCCACTGCCTCCC